CCCCACCCCACCCCGTCCATGGTGATAATCAATTATTCGACTCTTGTGCTCTACGTCCCACAGGCCGCCATGAGCACGAGCGTGGACGAGAAGTCGGTCCGGGAGGCTTACGAGGACGTGCGCTCCGACACGACGCCGACGGACTGGTGAGGACAACGGCGGAGTGGAGGCTTCCCGTCGTCGGCAGCGCAGCCTGCCTGTCTTTCTGTCAGCGTACCGTTTTGTAACGAGTCATCACCTCTCTTTCTCTCTTTATCAGGGCCGTATTCAAGTTTGAAGCCCAGAAGATCGTCTGCGCTGCGACCGGCGAGGGCTTCGAGTCGTTCAGGGGCCACTTCGCCGACGACGAGCGGGCGTTCGGCTTCATTCGCATCCAGGTGCGAGGCGCAACGTCCCTGCCCTAGCCCGAGGCCGGGCACCCACACCCATCACTCTGACGTTTGGTGGCGTTTGTGACGCTGTTTACATTTTGTTATTTTGTTCCCCCCCACCCGCAGATGGGCGACGAGATGAGCAAGAGGCAGAAGTTCGTGTTCCTCACCTGGGTCGGGCCACAGGTCAGCGTGATCCGGAGAGCGAAGATGACCATCGACAAGGGCCTGGTCAAGGACATTATCAAGGTCAGTGCCACCGCCGGGACGGTATGGTTGGGGGAAATAATAAGAGGGTGGTTGTGGTGGAGGGGAGAGGGGGGGAGGATGGACGCGAGAGTGAATCCGGGCCATATTTGCATGGCGTGCAGAGCGTGCAGTGACCACCCGAGTGACCACTGACCACTCGACCGCTCTCCGCGAGGTGCACGCTCGTTACCTCTCGCAGCGGCGTTGTGCACACAGCCTATGGAAGGGGCGCGCGCGGCGCGTGTCGACGACGCGGGCGCGCGGGGGAGTAGAGGAGGAGGGGGGGGGGGCATCGTCATTAAAGAAAGTTAAACGCGTGTTGCGCAGAGGCTCCGCAGGCTGGGCGCGATCCACTTGGCGCCTCATCCTCGACGCCCTCGAGCATGGACTCGCGTGGCCTCGCGTGGCGCGGTGCGGCGGGGCGTCTCTCGGCACCTCCTCCTCTGCCGCGGAGGTGGAGACCGTGATGGTATCGCCGAGCTCATCTGCTCTCACTTCTTGGAGAACTCTCGCGAGCAACATGCAAATCTATACAGGCTGCGCAGGGAGGGAGGTGGGGGAGGGGATTTGGCGCCCCGGGCGGCGCGGGGCCCCTGTGTGGCAGGCAGCCCCGGCGTGCTCGCGCGTGCGGCTGCACGGCCTACCCTGCCAAGGTGCACACTCTTCACCACAGGCACCACGCCTTACAAGCCAAATGACCGTTTCTGTTTCAGAACTTTGCCGTCGAGCTGCAGGTGGAGACGCAGTCCGAGATCAACGTGGAGTACATCCGTGAGCAGCTGGCCCGAGCGGGTGGCGCCAACTACGGCACCGGCTTCAGAGACTAGAAGAGCCGGGCGAGGAGGAGGAGGAGGAGGAGGAGGAGGAGGAGGACCCCTGGCCGGGCCGGGTCGGGCGGCGCACAGCAGCACCCTATTTATGACTCACCTCACCACGTTATGTCGCCGCCCGCGCCCGGAGAGGAGTCCCGCCGCCGAGACGACTCACTTCTGCTCACAGGAGAGGAAAGAGAGAAAGCGAGAGTAACGACAGTGGGAGTGAGAGAGAGAAAGAAAAAGAAAGAGAGGTGTGGATGGTGGTCCTCAGCCATCCTCAGAGAGAGGTTTGATTGGCTCCTCGAGAAAACTATTTTGTACATACTTAAAATTACATGATAAAATGTTGTGATCAATTAGCAGATTGCGGTATTCTTTTCGGCGTCGGGGCGCCTCTGGTGAGAATTCTTGATACCGAAATGATATAAAAACAAATCCTTACCGATAAAAAAAAAATTGAAACTGTCCTGAAATGGGCAGGTTTTCTGGATGTAAGGTATCGTTTGGATACCGATTCGATATCGCATCGATATAAGTTTCTCATTGGGACGAAGCCGGCAGTTCCGTACGGACACAGGCGGAGCGGGAGTCCTCCGCCCCAGAGGTAGGCAACCCATCCTACGGCCCCGGTGCCAGCCGGCTGCTGGTCGAGGGCCACGCCGCACAGTACCGCCGGCAAGTCACGCAACCCAACGGCCACTGATTGAATGGGATGCACAAAGAGGCAGCAGGAGGCAGGCCACTGATTGCACGTAACGAATTGAGTGCTGCTGGTGTGCGACGACAATTATACATTTTATCCTAATGAACGACCATTACAATGAATGAAGACAAAGCACTTGAGTGATAGAGGTTCAAATAGATTATTTATTTCCATAAATAAAT